GAGACATCTCGCAAAACATTAGAGGATTTTAGTCTGTCCGGCACTCCGGTACGTTTTTGCGTATACCGGGTTGCCGGAGGGCGTCAAGCCGAATAGCGCTTGAACGAACTTTTTGCATTTTTAGCCCGTACCGCCCAAAATACGCTCAAAAACGTCCGCAACGCCTTTGCGGCCGTGGCCGCCACATCTGCGTATGCGCAGTAGAAAGTCTTCGCGATTACTGAATAACTCCAAAAAGAAAAAAAAATTGGACATTGCCAATAATTTTTTGTTACAAAACGGAACTTTATGTTTGTTTTCTTTACTTGCCCTATGATTTAAACTTAACTATGAAGAACACATCAGCATCACGGTGATCAGCATCAGAATCGGTATCACGATTTGCTAACACAAGCGTCATGCGAATCATGCCTACTTTTTGAGTCTGGCACAAAGTGGTGGCTTGAAGATACGTGAAATATACGGTCTACTTACTTTTTTCTGTTTGTCGCGTCATTCCGTAGGAAGTGGGCTAGGGGAAGGTCAACGCGCTCTTTCACACTTCGTGAATTAAGAGTCTGCCGCAGCAGCATTGACACTCTTTCAGTTATCGTGTGCCACCGCGAAGCATTCTCGAAAGGGTTCAGCACATGAACTTCACCGAGGACAATCTTATCATCGGAAGGCGAGTAGCGTGCCCGCGGTGCCATGCTGGTAGCGGGCCTCGAAGTAGCCATTTTGTTTTTTACGTTTTTGTTTGGCTCGACTTGACTCGGCTCAAAGGGAAGCCAGGTAATGGCAACCTTGGAAGCATGTTGTGTGTTTGGGCGTTTGAGCTTGTCCGGTAAACGACCGTAAGGCACGCGCATGCGCAGTTCAGACACGGTAAACCGGTATCTGCAAACTTTTTTTTTCGTATAGCGGTGCGCCGGACAGACTGAAATCCTCTGTTCACTCTGCCAGGCTTCGGTGCTGCGCCACATTGTGCAGAGAACCATGAGGCGTACGTGCTAAGTGCGTACTCCTGAGAAGAAAGCCGCACATCTCGAAGCTGGAAATGTAGGTCGACAGCGTGTAATAGGAGGGACTGGCGGTTCATTTCCTGTGCCAGGCTTACTGCGACATTTTGCAAGCTTCGCGATATCTTTTTTTTTCTTGGCATGCTAATATCGTGCTTTTTATCGCCATGACTTTGTACCGAAAATCTGAATTCCATATTGGTTTAAACCTTCCTAATATTAGTTGCCGGACAATATTTTAGATCTCATCCTTGTTGTCAATCAGAGTCTGGTTTTCTTGCCAATATATAATTACCCAGTATCACTTCGTATGGTGTTCGTGACAACCAAGACTTTTTATGAAAATTTCGTTTAGCACGAGTGTTTGGGTGAATTGGCAGGTAATTGGTTGATCATCGTCAAATAAATTCGAACAGTTTGGAAAAAGATCGAAGCAGACTTTTGTAACAAGGGTCAAAACAACCAGGCCAGTGGGTCTCGAAGTACGCTGATGTTTCTTGTGATATTGTCGACAGGGAGGGCGATCGATGGAGGTGGTGTGTGGATGGTGCTAGTACCGTCATTTCTGGCAGCACAGTAACGACTGTGACTGCTACATTCTATCTAAATTGCAGACGACTCGCAAGTCGTGCGCTGTGGACCAACTTGGGGCAACGTCGCTGGCTTGATGACGAGCTGACGCAGAGGGCGCCGGAAGGTGACTTTTTCCGACCTTCAGCAATGTCTGATCAATGCGTCATTGTGCGCCGATCACTCGACAACAAGTTTGAGTCAGAGCCGATGTCGATAACGCGAGATTCAGTGGTGGGTCTGTGGTGGACACAGATGTCAGGGCCTGTAGATGTCGTTTAAGTACTCGATCACGTGGCCTCTGTTGCAGTCAAGTCATTCGCCCCGAAAGGGCGGATGTTAGAGATGATTGGAAGCGTACTTCATGTGGACGGAGAGGCGCATGTAGAGGGACGGGAAGGTGCATCAACTACAGTCACTGAGAAACCATTTGCGGCTGGTTCAGGAGAGCATGAATGCGGGGCAGTAGGCTTGCATGGTCGGTAGATCACGGAGACAGAGAACCAGTCTACAACCTGTGGCGAGGCAGATGAGTGGTCCTCGAGGGTTTTGGTAGTGATTGCAGCGTCCTGCGGGTTCGGCTGTGGCTGGCAAGGGAAGCAAACATTTGCTGGAGAATTCGAGGTCTGTCGTGGTCCCTGCCGGCAAGATGGGCAAAGTGTCGAAGTCAATGAGAAGTCATGCTCGAGAGACAACGTCAAAAGTGAGGCATCCGTGAGTGTAAGGCTAATGGCCCGCACGACTACCTCTGCGCCAGACTCCGAGGCGTGTGGCAAGGTGGCCGCCGTAAAATCTGAGGTCACAGACGTGTCGTGAACCGGTGAGGGCGATGACAACGGGTGCATAGCGGACAAGGCTGATGGACAGTCCGCCAATGATGTTGCAGAAACGCAGCTCGTAGTGACAGCTGTAATGTCCTGAATTTCGTCAGGTGGGTGGTCGGGTGCGGGAATATTAGCGATCGTGGCAGGACGTAAAGTTGAAGATGGTGTAGTTGGGGATTTTAGGTGTTGGGAAGGGAAAATAACGTGCAGGTTCGCACAGCTCACTGCGACGCAGGACAAACCTTGAAGTAGCACGCTTTCGGAATCAGTTGTATACGTGGGGAGAGAATCGCAGCGCTGGGGTTGTCGTAGGGCTGCGGGCTGAAGTGCGACGCGGCAGCTCTAATGGTAGGACCTTGAGCAGAATGGTGCGCATCGGCGACTGTGCCTTGACGCCATTCAGCAGGGGCATGGCCTCGAGCTACATTAACCATGTTCTGGTTCAGGCCGAGTGGAAGAGCTTTACCGGGGGCCAGAATCGCGGAAACATGGCAGCGACTACTCATCTAAAGGTGTGTTCTTGGGGTCAGCACTGTAGCTAGAGAGATGTGACGGCGGCCAATGTAGCCGTGCTGATCTCGCCACATTATTTCTAGGCAGAATGGCCGAAGCATATTGGTGGCAAGTGAAGTGTTCAGAGAGCCAGGTGCTTGGAGTGTTCCTACTGGTTCGCACCACACACTCTCAGCATAATCTGTACGAGAAGTGGAACATGCTGGTAAGGAAATGACAAATAATTGCGATGATTATTGTGGCACATCCTCCTGCGACCCTGTGTTCTCGACGTGGTGTTATCGCTTTGTCGCTCAAGCTTTTCCTTTATGCGTACTTCAAAGGTTCTACGGCATCAATCTCACAAGTTTCACTCACCTCGGTAAGAACGCTGCCAACTTGTCTCGTGAATCTGAGAATCCGATTCATTGACTGAGCTCATTCTAAGGGCCGACGCGTCTGTTAACATGAACTCCCCAAAAAAATACAGATGGTTGAGAATAGGTGTCCTATTGCGTCAGCCAAAGTGTGAACCAATGGCCTACGCAAACAGCTCCCGGAGTTGGCAAAATACAGAAATACGCCGATTCAATGTTTTCTTAGTATAATCCAGCAGTCTATATACATGCATTCGGGTGCACCACTCCAATGTAGCGGTTACAGTGCTCAGCTGCTGACCCGAAAGTCAGAAGTTCAACCCCGGCAGCGGTGGTCCCATTTAGGCGGAAGCGAAACGCGAGTGACTGGTGTACTGGGCATTATCGGGGCACGTTAAAGAAAAGCAAATCATCAAGGTACCAAAAGCGCCTCCTTTACAGCGTGCCTCGTGAATACATGGTGGTTTGGGCAAGTAAAAACCTCTATATTATGATTGCATACCCGCTTGATTGGTTATATCAATATAGGTTTTAATGAACCACGGAAACATTCATTGATTGGCTCTTAGAAGCACATGAAGCAGAGGATGTTCAAGAAAACCCAACCTGGTTTCATGCTGGCCAGTACTTCATTACGGTATGAAGCCTGCGGCGTAATCTTAGGATGCTTCTCGGATATACTTTTTACAGAAACATCTGCTCATACGAGATACCATATGCATCACGTCGACTGTGGTGCTCATTCGATACTGTCAATGATGAATCAAGGTGCTTGAGGCTGAGGGCATACTTTTCTGGGTGGCAACGTCTGGCCCCGTCACTGATTGAATTCGTAACTGCTTTTGCCTCCTCTTTGCACGGTTACATTGGCTGGCGAATGGATACGAGATCCCTCGATAGAACTAGAGTGTCACAGATTCGATCGTGGCTTCAGCATTTAAATTGCGATCCAGGATAACTGCAGAGCACCGTGCACTGGGCAGTCCACGAACATTATAGAAAGTAGGTGCTCTCAGTAACATGGAGCTCTCCGCTATGGTGTTTTTCGTAGCCGAAGTTGTTTTGAGACCTAAAGCCTTACGCAGGAAGCCCATAAACAATTATTTCATCTGATTCTTGCGTTCACCACACGGGGGGCGCCTACAAATTTTTTCTTGCTCTGTCAGCTGCCATTGGTTGACGGGTCACTGCGGTCGTCCTACGGAGTTGCATAAGGCATTGTGTTCTCGAAACTTTCAGCATTTCCTTCTTTTGGTGTCTGCTGGCTGTGTCGGCGTAGTTCCACTGGTGCGCGGGCGCGTTATCTTATCACGTAGCCATTGGCTGCGGCTTGCGATCATCGCTACTCAGCGCCCACGCTAGAAGTTGGCTTCTGGCGGTTGTAAATAGACGTTGATTATAGAAGGCACAGGCGTGCAGACACACGTTTTGCATTAACACTCACGTGTGGCAAAATTATTCACCAAAACATATATCAAAATATAGTTAAAGTGTGATTTGTGCAGTCACACATCATTAAAGTACGTGCCTTCAAATGCTATAAAAACGAAAATTTAACGAATCTCTGAAATAATGAACGAGGAAACAAAGATGAATGAATAATTTATAATCGGTTGTCGAAAGTATAAGATGGCATATCAGTTACCGGTCTGTGCATTCTCCATCAAAACATTCTGAGAACTGTGCTTTTATAATCATGACCACCCCTCAAACTCAAATTCTTTTTCTATGCATGACAGCTGGGGAGGCAAAGACTGTTACGGGAGACGCTTACCTTCACTTCAAGAAGCGCGGTGACCTGTCCAGCCTGCAGTGGTACGAGTCCCCCCTTGGCTACACTTCCCCGTCCGAAAAAACTTCCTGCAGTGAACTTATCTGCGACGTGTACTACGCACCTGTTAACTTCCATGACGCCATGATTGCCACCGGCAAAGTCAACGATGATGGCTCTATTGGTAAGTGGGCATTAACAGACGCCTATCTATGAAACTGTCGCGATACCCCATTGAAGCTGGAAATGGAATAACAGCTTTTTTCATTATTGCTTGCTCTTGTAGAGGAAGGGGCGCATTAAGAAATGGACACGTAGGCAGTTTCTTGTAATGTGATTTATTCATAGTTGTCTGTCATTCCGCTTGTTTTCTTCCCAGCTTTTTCACTGCTTCGGTCATCTGAGTTAGCAAACTAAATATTTCCTGTCAGTTCAACATCGTGCTTTGTTTTCTTTGTTTTTAAGACGAACGCTTTTAATATCATTGTATATCAAGACTTCACTGTGTTTTCTTCGCGGATACGGTATTTAATACGTAGGTACACCAAGAAATGATAAAGAAAAAGAAACAGAAAGAAAGTTTTCCGCTGCTTGCAGTTATTCACATGGCATTGCGATATGCAGGGATCGCATTCATTGTTTTTTTTTCTTGTGGCGAAACTGACTATTTGACGTTTTTGTTGACACCTCCTTTGCGCATGGTTCACGATATACTGTATTATGGTGTAGGTTGAATCTTCAGCTACCACAAAATGACATTACATGAAATGACATCTAAAAAAATTAGATGAAGTGAAATTCAGCCCAAAATGACATTAGATGAAAGAGCTACCCTTAAAGAAAAAAGAGAGCACGGCTTATATCTCTTTTTAGGAATCGGCATAACACGAAAGCTAAACGTGTCTTCACCGAGGCAGTTGAAGGTTTTTTTGTGTCAAGACTGATTGTTGGCCTGGTTCGTATTCGTTTAATGACATTCTTTCATTGTAGACCCGCTGCGGTGGTTTAGTGGCTAAGGTACTCGACTGCTGACCCGCAGGTCATGGGATCGAATCCGGGCTGCGGCGGCTGCATTTCCGATGGAGGCGGAAATGTTGTAGGCCTGTGTGCTCAGATTTGGGTGCCAGTTAAAGAACCCCAGGTGGTCGAAATTTCCGGAGTCTTCCACTACAGTGTCTCTCATAATCATATGGTGGTTTCGGGATGTTACACTCCACATATCAATCACATCCTTCACCGCAAAATATCACAAACACAGAGTAGAGAAGACACACCACGACAAGAACAAGCGGCGCTTCCACCTAAAATAGACTGAGCGCAAATCCAAAAATAAATATACAGCATACAGGCATGCGCAGTCTTCACACAGCCTTACCAGCTATCCGTCGGTGACGTTTTACGTATTGGAAAAGAGATTGATCGATAGCTGAATAGCGTAATGCTATGTGAAGATGGCGCATGTCTGTATGTTGCATATTAACGCGATAGCGTTAGAGAACTCGTGTCGCACAAAATCCGCCGTCGGTGTCGGACCCGTTGGTTGTGAGCGGAAAATTGTCCGTGAGCAAAAAAGCTCGTTACAGGGATTGCCGCGGAAAGCCGCTACTTGCCCACGCGTGCACGCATGATCACACTGGAAAAGCCGCACATTCGAAGGAAAAAAAAAGAAAGAAGTGCTCAAATCACGAGGCGCGGGTCGTGTAGTTTCTTGGCCCCTGCCACCCTTCCCTGCTTATCTTCCAGCGATTTCGTCTGGACGAGAGAAGAGAGAATGGAATTGTAGCATGCGACAAACCTTTGTAACTCCACTCGTACTGGACAGGTTCTTAAGTTTTTTGCGGCGTTGAATTCGTGAGACAATAAGCTCTTCTAGTGAATTCATTCCATGGTTACCTGAAAAAGCGTTTCAGGGCCCTTTGGCGCTTTGTATTCCACAGGTGTCACGACGAAAACGAGCCCATTGGGCGATTTGTTGACGCATTTCGGAGGCCTCAAACTACCTCAAAAAAGGCCGGTTTGTTCAGCCATCCCCGCTAAAAACACACAGAAACTTTCGAACAGCTTTAAAAATAGACAACTATGTCCATCTAGGGGAAAACATATCATGCTTTTTCAGAGTCATTGATTAGGCAAACAGCAAACGCTGAATAATGTCATGCCATCTGTGAGGCATGGTGAGACTCTTTATGGCTTCCGAGATGGTGAGCGCACGGCGTGTGTCTTGGGTGCCATGCGACTTTTGCTTTGGATTGGCTACGTACATGCGACTTTGGCTCTGGATCAAAAAGCTGTATGTACCATTCCCCCACGTGCGCTGGTATAATCTACTCTGTGCGTGTGTGTGTGTGTGTGACAAAACATATTAGGTATGCACTTAGCGGTTGAAGCGCGCTCTAGGGGCCGCATTTCCCTATCGCGTGCAACTCTTAAAGACGAGGCTGAAGAGCTCCTAATTTTTGTTTTCTGTGTTTGCGCTTGGTGTAGTTGGAAGAGCCGCTTGTCCTTGTCCTTGTGCGTCTTCTTTGCTGTGTGTTTTTGATAATTCGCGACTAAAGAATGTCATTCAATTGAGCGTTTGTTTTGTGCTATTTCGCCACAACGGCGAAGGGAGGAGTACTACAGCAACAAACGGCAGTTTCATGCGAAAAACGGCAATCACCTCGAAACTTACAGCGGGCACTTCATGCAGAAAGCATGCGCGAAATGAGCATACACAGCATGAGCGCAAACAAAGAACGGTCCCAGCTCGACACATAAAGCATTGTGCTGATAAAGAAAGGAAGACGCACAAAACTAACGCAAAAATATACGGAGGATGAGCACGAACAACTTTCATAATCCGCACTTCATCGTATGTGAGCAGCGTGGTACTTTTGTAAACATGGCCGCGGCAGCGAGCGAAGTGACCTTCTTCTCCTGAATCATAAGCACGCGTAGCAGAGACCGTGCCCCGTGGAGGCACGAGCTCTTAGAAACGAGAGAGGCGCCAAAAGCGAGCTCATTGCGCAATCTCGCTACTGAAGATGAAAACGCGGTGAAGTTGAGGAACTCTGAGGACTGCCAACGGTATATGGTGTTCATAAATGTCTTGCTGTCAGCAAGCTTGGCAGCGTATACCGTGTGGCTTAGTGGCTTACGTCGCGCGCTGCAAAGTAAGAGGACGCTGGTTCGACGCTCCACATTCCGAACTCTTCTATCGCTTTGTTTTGTTGCATTATCTTAGTATATATCCCAGCGGAACTCTGGTAGACCCTGGGATAAAACACTTTCCTGTCGAGAAATTTCTGGCTGCTTTGTTTATTACGTGCTCTCACAACCATACAGTTTCCTAAAATTCACTAGAGGGGGCTTTAGTGCTGCGATCGCTGAGTGACTATAGGAATGATGGGAAGTACACAGATTTGCCAGAGGCGAATCGCACTTGTGGCTTCGTTTATTGCTGTGTTTTTTTCGAAGCAAAGAAGAAATCCTTTCGATATTCGTGATCTATTCTGAAATGGTAAGCCTAATATATTAGGGCGCTGCCGAGGAGCCACTGAACAATCTTTGATTTTCGCTTCGTGAGAAACCGGATACAAGACACACGAACTCACACAAAGCCAAAAGTACTAAGATTAGACAAATTTGTCTCTTACCCATCATTTCCATGCTCGCTGAAGCGGCGTGCGTTGCAGCTCCCGTAGGCACTAGCGCCAGAGTTTCCTCCTGTGTATATCAATTAAACTATATGCTCACAATGATCTGTATTTGGTTCTCGGTTTTCCGGGCTTATCAGTAGAAAGTAATTGACTTCTTGAAATAGAGCATAGGGGCTCCTGTTGATCCATCATTGCCAAAAAGCTGCTTGGCCGTATTTGCATATTGAATGATAAGTCAAGAACGTCCTACTCAAGGAAGGTACGAAGCAGAGCTTGCACAGCAACTCAATATTTAGGACAAAAGTGGGCACCCCTGCCCTCAACAGACCTGCCTGCCCGACTCATTGCGCAGGCCTATGGAAGGCATCAGTAGTCACCTATACTTATAGAGATCAATTCATGAAGAAGGTGTGGTACTGGACCAGACGTTTCGACAAGAGGACTTGTGGTCTGTGTCTGCTTGTCGAAAGTGATTCCAGAGACACCCTCTTTTTAACAAAATACTCATCCTATGAAGCTTTTGTTTTCACTTGAACTTGATTGATTGATATGTGGGGTTTAACGTCCCAAAACCACCATATGATTATGAGAGACGCCGTAGTGGAAGGCTCCGGAAACTTCTACCACCTGGGGTTCTTTAACGTGCACCCAAATCTGAATACACGGGCCTACAACATTTCTGCCTCCATCGGAAATGCAGCCGCCGCAGCCAGGATCACTTGAACTTCTGTCTTTCGTCATATTCTCAAGGAGGTGTTCTTCCTAGGGGTATTGAAAATGAGTGCCTTTCATCACTTGCATGTTACATACATCTTCACCAGTATAACGTCGCCTTGTACAACGGCTTCCATCTTCGATTTTTAAAGTTCCACCATTCTGACTTGCTCCGCTCTTGCAGTTGATGTCACCGGTCAAGGCACGTTCCTGGGCACAGAGTTCTCGGGGCGGGACCAGGACGGACGCCGTGTCATGGGTTGTCTCGGTGGCAAGTGCATCGCAACCAGGGTCGCAGCGGACCCATTCGCTCTGTGGGAAGTGCCGGATTCATGGACCCTGGAAGAGGCTGCCACGGTTCCCGTTGCTTACTCCACTGCCTACTACGCCCTCATTATGCGGGGCGCGATGCAATCAGGAGAGTCAGTCCTCATCCACTCGGGAAGTGGAGGCGTGGGTCAAGCCGCTATATCTGTTGCCCTGTCCATGGGCTGCACCGTCTTCACAACCGTCAGTGAGTTGCATGCGTCTACCGCACATCTTATTGTCTGGTTCATAATCTTATAACGCACATGCGCACTGCCGTTCACGTAAGCAGCGAGAATACGAAGGCGATGCTGTATGTAAAAAGGGGAAATATAAAGACACACCAAAGACCTCCCTTGCCACTCAACACTATTTGACACAACAACCACTCTTGTCTACTTACGTCTAATGTCAGTCGCTCATGTGACTGCTGCATAAATAACGTCAAAAGTTATTAATTCCCATTCGCTCATATTAGTTGTCTCAGGTCCAATGTGACGTGGTCACATGGGTGACACCCGCAGTATACCCTTTGAGCTACTCTTGCTTGCGTCCTAATTTGCTTGCGTGCTAATACTCTTGTTTGCGTCCTAATAAGATATTCGAAATATATTTTCAGCTATAGCACAGGAAAGCTATTACCGCGGTGTCCATCTAGTGTACATGTCTAGTTCTGCTGACTGCGCTTCATCACTGTAGAAAAACAGCATATTCACGGTGTGATTGAAAATAAGTGGGGCGAAGCGTTCGTGCACTCGCCCATTGCGTTCATCCGAGCGCCCGCCCATCCTGCACCTCGGGATCCTACCGACGAGCATGAGCCTCAGCTACATTTCGCACCCGGCGCCCCCGTCATCCATGATCCGCCAAGCAGCATGATCCGGCAAGCGCACTCGTGTGGCGACGGTCCAGGAGAAGGATAGATAACCGGCATTCAGGCAGTGCGCACTGCCCGCGCAGCAGCCAATCAAAAGTAGCTGCACTGCCAACGCCATCTAGCGTACCTTGACCCAACCGCCAAGGCGCCCTCTCGGAAACGAGGCGAGAAATAGAATGCGTACAGCTCCATCTGGTATATTGTCACCCAACTGCAGTGTACAAGCATCTCGATGGCAAAGCATCATCTACTGCATAAGAAGGGAGACGCTTTTGGGTACAGAGGATGGTTGACGATCGACGATCGACGCCCCTCGAGCACCGGCCAGGTCTTGCCATAAGGAGCTTCACCTCTAAAAAAATGGCGAGCCGTCAGGACAATGCACGCACCGATTCCTCCAGCCCATTCCCAGCGTAGAGAACAAAAGTGCACGAAATGTACAGTAGCTGGACTCGAAACTAATTTCACAAGTGCCCTCGCATACTTGCGCTCTAGTTCAAGATGAATAAGCACAATCTCGTGCATATGACTACGCTCTTTGTTCTTTCATACGTCATTATTATATAAAAGAGCATATCTTTTTAAATCAATCTGAAGAAAACATTTCAAATCAATAATTTTAGGGGCGAAGCTCCTAAGGCGCGGGTCTGTTCATCCCTTGTATGTATGTAGTAGTACGTAGCCACTGGTGGCACATACCCGCTCTAGATCTGGTATGTGCCACAAGGTTTGTGAGATGGCGGTACTCGGAGTGTTCACTAGTTGTACACATGGACGGATGGACAGACAGACTAGCAGACGGACGGATGGATCGATAGACGCGCGAACGTACGGACAGATGGACGCACAAAGAGACAGACAGACAAATGAATGGACGGACTCACGGACGTACGTGTGGATAGATGGATGGACGCATGGATGGACGCACGGATGGTCCCACGGACGGACGGAAGAAAGAACGAACGGATGGACGGAAGCATGAACGGTCTGTTGGACGCTTCGCCCCCTGATCATCATTCACTCCGTGGATATGCTGTGATTTTTTCATGTTACGTACACTGCACAAAAAAGGCCAATGTTTCTGACTACACCATTTAACTGCTTTCCTTTTCCATCGGTTCACAGGTTCAGAGAAAAAGCGGAACTTTCTAAAGTGCCGCTTTCCACAACTGGAGGACAGGCACTTTGCAAACTCACGTGACCGCTCATTCGAAGAACACATCAAGGTGCAGACACGTGGTCGTGGTGAGTACATATTTACCAAATATGATGGCATTGAAAAATAATTATTTGTGGCTCACGCATCTCATTAAAGTCTGTGTAAACAATGAGTGACTTAAGGTCCAGCTGCTAGTGCATAAGCGCGCTTTCTCGATCTGGCTTTTCGAGATCTCACGTCGACAGATGTTGTTGGAGCATAGTTACACTCGGGAACATTCGATGGCTTAACTGACGCTGGGATCTGAAAGTGCTAGTCAGCAGGGACTCCCGAAACCTCTTTAAGGACCATCTGTCGTTCTTGTCTAGCGCTGACTGCAACTTCACAAGCGCCTTTACAGCTGCTTGTTGTTAAGAAACTTTGGCGATTCTTTGCTATACAAGGTTACTTAGGGCAGTGTTGGCAATTTAACTTTCTCCACAATATTCATGGTTTTTGATACTAGTGGCGAGGAAAGTGATGATGCACAAGTAGGCGAGATCTCCTTGCGACCTATTCAGAGAGAGGACAGCCTGAGCCTTCCTGACTGTGACAGTCTCTTCACCTGAACAGCTGCTAATCTCAACCTTCAGGTCCTAAATGTAGCAGTTGCAATACTGCACTGCTTCTAGCCATGTCCGCGAACGTGCGGCGATGGGCCCTGCCGGGATGGGTACAAATGCAATTTTTTCTTGAACGAGTGCACGTGAGAGCGTGACTTCAAGAACATGGCCTTGACTTTTCTCCAAACGTTCGTTCAACAAGAGGATCAGTTCCCTGTTTTCTGAACAAATCATACGGCCCAGTTTTATGCATACTGCCACGAACTGCTCACGAAAGCAAAATTTGGCATAAATGGTGTTTTAAGAGGCACACAATACAGTATTTAGAGGTAATTAGGTGCATTTATTCAAAAGCACATAAAGTAGGCGTTCATATGCATATAAACACAAAAATAAGTAACGCTTCAACTCTGATTCATGCTCATTCAACAAAGTTGCTCAGTAGGAACGCAATGACCCAAAGTGGTGTTTGCCTACAATCTTTTGTCTAGTAATCAATAACCAAGTCAACAAGACATACTCCTTCACGACATAGGACATCGCCTCCTATCATGTTCATCGCTAATATTCAGACAACAGGTGAATACAAGAGATCAATTACTTGTCCATACATCTAACCTCTTATATCTTACTTCTTAACTTGTAAAACATTGAAGCTCGTAATTACGTTCAATGATATTGGCTGCCTGTAATGAAGTTCCTCTTTTGTGATGAATGCTACGAGTAGTACTTAAGCGTCTCCAATTTTTTTCTTTCTCGACATACGCAAAACAAGCTTTTGTGGGTGATTTTACGCGACAACATAACATTCACACCTGACTAGCATGACTATAGCGTTTGCCGTTGTGGCTGGCAGCTGGGTGAATTTTACCTTCCAAATGGGAAAGCATTGGAAATATTTTTTGTAAGTCATCGTATTGGCAGAATATGCAGCCATGAAAGTAGGGTCCTGCTGTTCAGTGATCACAGGGCGTCATTGCGTTTATTATTACAAGCGCATTCAGAGAACAATACAAGACTTATCCGATACTATGGCACAAGACATGAGACACCATCAAGTGCGCAAGATACACCCATGGTGACCAACAACTATTGATGTTCTTTTGCGATGTTGTAGCACATACGTGACCTCACGATGCCGATTCGTTCGAGCATCTATGTTAACAAGACTGGGCACCTCAAACTCTTGTGAAGCTTATCAGCACATTTTCGAGTTACTACAATAATAAATTGTCCGGCTAGAAACTGAGGCTGCTCATAGTCTCACACCGCACCCTGTGCTCCCAGACACAAAGTGTGAGTATACGTTGCATATTCACAAATGTACAGACACAAACAACTTTTAATTACTACGTAAAGCGTAGCCGGAGAATTAGAAGGCGTAGAAGATTTTTGTACGTTTGTCACTATTTCACCAAAAAATCGTGGATGGATATCTTGCAGCGCTTTTAAAATGTGACGGAAAGCCTTAACCAGAGAAAGGCTCCTTAGCCGGTATTACAGCGCGGACTAAGCGGACATTCAAGACATATTTGAATGGCATTGGTCAACATCATGTGTGCCTATGTTTGTAAAAACAGAGATGTATGCATAATCGCCACAGTAGTGTCGTAGCTATGGCGCTCAACTGCTAACCTGAAGGTCTAGAGTTCGAATTCTGACCATGGTGGGCGCATTTCGATAGAGGCGATATGTTAGAGGCTCATGGGAAGAGATTTAGGTGGCCGACAAACAACACTAGAAGATTGAAATTTTCGGGCACCCCGACTACAGCGTTCCTCACAGGCAAATTTTGGTTTCGGTATGTAAAACCACGACAACTATTATGAATAGCGATAAGAAAACATATATCTTATGACAAATGTGATATAGTCTGAAACAATTCCAATAAATATGCAGAGCATGATTTTTCACCGGTTTAGGGCAGTTTAACACACGCTTGCGCAGATAGTGTTTTTGCCGATGTGTGCAAACGGCGGTGACCTGACAAATGAAGGCCCCATGGAATGCTTCATAAATGCTGTATTCGTTTCCCCGGTGCGGTTATATCGGTGACTGCACGTGATGCACTTCGGTGATTTTATAGCGCTGACCGAAAACATCCTAGCAATGACAAAACATAATATGAAAGACGCTACGCAGCATTTTATTACGCTGCGAGTTCTTGTTATTAATTCAGTATTCATCTATTTAATTCAGGTTCGCAAGTTCCGATTCAAGTATCTCGATCGTTGCGCATAGACGGTCCTTGTCACCAAGTGAGTTGTGGCTTTCTAGCAATAAAACAAGTGACCAAGGCAACTAAATGCCTTGTGTAAATGTAAAAAGAGCTTCGCTTTTAGAAACATTTCAATACGCAACCAGATTCATGTTGTAATGGTTCTTATTCCAAGGAAGAACACGTTTCGTGACCATGACGGACGTGTGGGCGCGTAGCATATGCGGCAATACCATTTCATTTTGCACAGATTTTACCCGCGTCTTAATGTAGTCGCTTTAGATTTCCACTGTTTATTGAGGCGTTCACTTAAAGCAGTGTCTGATTTCTCATAAACATCAATATGCATCTTCGCTACAGGTGTGGATTTGGTGCTGAATTCCTTGGCCGAAGATAAACTGCAGGCCAGTGTGCGCTGCTTGGCCCCGCATGGCCGTTTTTTGGAGATCGGCAAGTTCGACCTCTTCGAAGACAACAACCTGGGCATGTCGGTGTTCCTGCAGAATGTCACCTTCCACGGAGTCATGACGGACAGCTTGCAGAGGAATGACCCGGCAACGCCGGTGCACAAGCGTCGCATTGTTGAGCTCGTCCGCGAAGGAATCGCATCTGGTGTGGTGCGCCCGCTGAACATCATCAAGTTCACTCGAGACCAGGCTGAGCAGGCCTTCCGCTACGTTGCATCTGGAAAGCATATAGGAAAGGTTTTGATTGAGGTATGTTGTCACCATGTGACGTGCTTACTACTGCATTCACAAGGATTGTGGGGCAGCGTACCATATCAGCCCGCTGATAACTGGCTCCAAACGTACCGGTGATAAACAAGATCGCAAAAGCATTACGTAGGCTGAAAAATGAGTAATTATTTTCCGCCACGTTTTAAGGTTGCGTATTTAAATGGCTACCCATAAAATTATGTCTATTATGCGAAATTCATGACTTCTTTGATGTTAGAGTATACAAGGTGCCGCAAAAAAAATATGGTCAGGGTGGGGTAAATTGCATTCGTCAGTAAATCAACCTGAATCATGTGCCTATGGAAGTAAGCAATATACAGGCCATCTTACCGGACAAAAGCGTCTCTGTCAGCACTTTCTGCTGCTTGTCGAACAACTCCTCCCGACACCGAAGCAGAACCAGTCCTTGTGCAAAGGCTTGCTGCACACTCACGTCGTATAGGCGATGGCTGTTTATTATTTCCAATTTTGACATGTTAGGGCTCGACACTTAGGCATGCGCGTTTGTGTATCAATACATATCTCTAATTAGGTTCGCATGAAATGACGGTGATTTTCCACAAGGTTTCTTAATTACTGTTGGGTTACACGCAATATTGGACATGGTTGTCCTTCTGTAGGTAATTGTAAATACACACAAAGTGTACAATGAATAATCCCATTTATGTCTCAAACTTTTGCGTCCTGCAGCCACAGATGGAAGCTGTAGTGGAGTGCTCCAGAAACTGAAAACATTTTGTGTTATCAACAAGTATTAGTTACGTCTTGAAAGTACCTGATAATCATAGCAACAGTTCAATATGCGCTACCTTTATCCTCGTGTAGCAACGTAGCATAAGAATTATGCAGTTGTTTATCAGTTTTCACTGCCGCGCACAGCGTCGCTGTCTAACCAGCACTAGATGTTACTCAGGATACGCACTCAAGCACTGATGGCAATTCGTTTACAAATAACACGGCCAAGTGTGCCGCACGAGTAAGAGCTGACTTGAACTCTGACCCCTTAAGTTTTGGGGCCTACCCTGTCCCTAATCTTCGTAGCTTATTCTTACGGATATTTGTTTAAAGCTTAGTTACAGCTTGCCTATGAAACCAACTGCACGTGTCGGTGGGCTTTGTAGTTTGTTTTTACAGCAGACATAATCGTGAAGCATGACACCGTAAGCGAATGATATGATCACCGCGTCACGGCGAAATGTGCCTGGAGCGCTGTAACATATTTAAAGATTGAAGGTTGTGACGAAAAACGTACTGCACATTGTGCACATATCGATAATTTTTCTCACTGCAGATACGGCCAGAAGAGACCCAGCTCCGTGATACTAAAACACCATCGGTGACACTAGAGGCCGTGGCGCGTCCGTGCTTCTACGGACACAAGTCTTACATCGTCGTTGGTGGCCTGGGTGGCTTTGGTCTTGAGCTGGCAGAATGGATGATATCTCGTGGCTGCTGCAAGCTTCTATTGATCTCAAGGACCGGAGTACGGACCGGTTACCAGCGGCTTTGCATTCACCGGTGGAGCAACGTCGGTGCTACTGTTATTGTGAGCAACGAGGATGTATCCACGGAGGAAGGTGCCCGCAAACTAATTGAAAACGCAGAAACGATGGGACCTGTGGGCGGCATTTTCAACTTGGCCATGGTGCGTAAACTACGAAAAAAAAGTGTACAGTATAAAAAATGTTCTTGAGTGAAAGGTGTTCTCTGATACAACATCATTAGCTGTTTTATGAGGCGATTACAAAGAAAGGCGATTACAGGTAATGTTTGCTGACGCCTGCACACCATGCACAAAATTCAATCTTATGTCTGCAAATTTGTCAGCTTATCACTGGAGCTATTGAGCATGCCCCGTTTCCCTACTTTTGTAACTCGTTGTGTTAATTTAACGTACCATGCTTCACAGGATGTTACTTTTTTTCAGAAACTCATTAAGCCATGTTCTTTCTATTTGAAGAATTGATTGCTATTGCAGCTGGTATAAAATGCCAAGAGGCGGCACAAAATGAGACGTTTTAGAATGTCTCATTGTGATATTACACCGTTTTTTTGATAATGTGTCCTCAGCTTATCAGACCAAAAATTCTCTTGAGACACTACACAGATGCTTAAGCTGTTGAACCTGTTAGCCCTCAAGTAAATATCTAAAAACAGGGTGTCTATTTCTTCCCGATCTCTATAATGCGGCATGATGACATGGGCCTACTGTAAACTATCATTTTTTTTTTAATTTTCTTACGAAATTTTTCTGTTTTCAGATACCACGTGACTAAGCCATAGTGCAACAATATGGCAGAATAATTAGCACTCACGAACCACCACGCCACTGTCACCGATTCCCAGTAGTGGGTACTCGTCAACCTTAACCTAATTAAGCAGTTTAAGTCCCCATTTAGCCATCGCTATTCTCCTTTCGGCAACCCTAGTCACAAGTTGGGGACTAGCAGTGATTCGATAATAGTAGAGGTTCAGAAAGTCTGCCGGGCTGACATCAGAGATCATGCACTCAAAGAGCAGTTTTGATGTGCTTCCTGCAGACTTCTTCCTAATTTCAAAGATCAAGAGAAGCAATAAAGGTAGCCGTTTGTCCTCGACATCGAAGAGGTGGTCAGGGTTACCTCTCCCAGCACCCATCGTCGTAATGTTTTGTCCGTTTTATATTGTTTGTCGTACTGTATGTTACAGAATTCGGTGCCGAAAAACCCAATTCACCACTTTAATCAGGGTCAGGGTCTGTCTGATCGCTGGAGGCAGCTGACATTCAGGCAGCCTTCGCAGCGTGGGAATCGCTTTCTACTGTTGGTATCGATGACATAAAAACTATAAATAAAGAATTGGTTGTGTTATGCAGTGCGAACAAAAACTCTCGCCATCGTAAATCCACGCGCACTCTTTTCATTCTCTCCTTCCTCTCAGAGCTATTCTTTATCTTCTGCTTCGCCCCCCAAATACCAGCGCCCATTTGTGTGGCATGGCCTTAAAATAACCCTTATAATTCAGAGCCAGAAAACAACTTCGGGGAGTCAGAAAAAGTAATAAATTAACAGAAGCCCAAAAGCAATAAATGAGTTTCAACAGGGATAAAAATTTGCCGACCACATGTTCCTGAAGCGGCGGCGGGATTAAAACTCACGTACCCATGATCCAAAGGCGACCCTCCTAACCTTTTCGCTATCCAAGAACGTTGAGAGAACACAGCCTAGAAAGCATAAATAGAAAGGCAATGGTAAAAAAGAGAAATGAAGATAGAAAAGGGGAAAAGGAGGTACAAGTTCAAAGGAAAAAAAGTAAGCAGAAACGAGTGATAGAAAAAACAAAGGAAGAAATATAAGAAGAAACGAAGAGAAACAAACAAAAGAATATCAAGATTCATAGATCCTCGAGGCTGGGCACCGCTTGTGCGAAGCAGCTTGAAGACTTTTTTTTTCTAAAACCCATGAACACTTTGGATGAATCGCTTCTACAAATTGTTTTACCCGACCCAGTCTTGTAAAACTACTTTATGGACAGGCACTGTATTTTATAGAATTGTCTTTTTTTCTGTGTACTCTGAAATGCTTTCTAGGTTTAAACACGTGGACCTTACCACTTGGCTCACTGCACTTAGCTCACGTCTGTGAGTAGCGGAGGGTTCTCAAATGTTGTAGAATTGTCCTATGTGATTGTGCCGATTTCACCTCCCTCCTTCTAAGATCTTCATCAAGAAACACCGCAGTGGCATCGTGTCGCCTATGAAATACGTGACCCCAGTGTTTTTTAGCGATAGATTCACATTACTAAAGCAACCACCACTGTATATGTGATGTTTGGAATTTAGATTTATTCAGTTAAGCAACAGGCAAGTACAACTCGCCATAACCTTACAGTAGTGATGCTCTTTCTGTGAGGAGTCCTGAACTTCAGGGTTTCTTCGAAGACGAGCGCCCACAAATTTTCCGTTCATCGTCGCATCTTTCTTTCTACACTTTCTTTCCGAAGGTTCTTCGCGATGCCCTCATCGACAACCAGTCGAAGGAGATGTACGAAGAAGTGTGCAAGCCGAAAGTTCTTGTCACCCAACGCCTGAACGACGTGTCGCGAGAACGGTGCCCCTCCTTGGACCACTTTGTCGTGTTCTCTTCCCTTGCTTCTGGTCGAGGAAATGCTGGTCAGACAAACTACGGTTATGCCAACTCTGTGATGGAGCGTGTGTGCGAGCGTCGCGTGGAAGATGGACTACCTGGTAAGTCAGCATTATTAACGCGATAGCGTTGAAGAGCTCGTGTCACAGAAAACCCACCGCCGGAATTGGCCCGGTTTGTTGTGAGCGAAAAATTGTCTCTGCATCCGTGACCGAAAAATTAAGTTACCAAAATAGCCGTGGGAGGCCACTACTTTTCCACGCGTGCGCGCGCGATCACACTAAAAAAGCCGCACATTCGAAAAAAAATGGCCCCGTATCAGTATGTTAATCAACAAATGTCGTCGAAAGACGATAGTCTTACGTGTGGAGAGAGGGAACATTTATTTGATGTTCTCCGCAAGAAAATTGGTGAATGATATTTTGGAGGCGCTGCGTTAGAGTGCCAGAGCGTGCAGTGGAGGCGAACGAACGCATCATGTCAGGTCACACGTGACGCATGAGCGCCATCTGGCAGTTTTCTCAGAAAACGAAGCACGTGGCTCTGAGACGGGAGTGCGCGCGCGTCTCAGAGGTGATAAGGTGTAAAACGCAAGGCGACTGGTAGGTGCCACCACCGTCTCCTCTTAGCAAAGCGTTGGAAACGCTCGCCTTTTCGTGTAAGCGTTACATGGTAAGCGCTACGGTATTTAAAATTACTTATGTATGCCTTTTCTAGTAAAAGACGCATATGCAGAATATATACGTCTTGTTTTTGTGCCCCAGACATGCGCAATAATTGCTTTTTATTTAGCAATCGCACAAGCATGAACGCTGAACCTTGAGCAACATTGGTGGGCGCTGCGGATGGGGTCAGCTGTTTCAAGTACCTGGTGCTGTTAAGAGTGGACAAACAGACAAATGTCTAGACAGACAGACAGACCAAAGTTTTTGCGTTGAAGGTCCCCAAGAAAGACTATTGTCTTAAAAAGTGCTCGAGGTCACGAGGCGGGGTAGTTTCTTTGCCCTGCCACCCCTCCCTGTTTAGCTTCCAGCACTTTCATAGGGATGAGAGAAGAGGTAATTGAATTGTAGCAAGCAATAAACCTTTGTAGCTCCACTCCCACTGGACAGATTCTCAAAATTTTTGCGGCGTTGAATTCGTGAGGCAATGAGCTCTTCTAGTGAATTATTTGCATGGTTACTTGAAAAAGTGTTTCAGGGCCCCTCTAACGCATTTTGTTCGAGAGGTCTCACGACGAAAACGAGCCCTTTCGGCGATAATAGCGCGAGCTGGTCCTACCTACTGTGTGCGTGTTGTTTTGCGTGCGTGTGTATGTAACAAAACATATTTATAAGTATGCACTTAGCGGTTGTAGGGTGCACTAGGCGCCGAATTTCACTATCGCGTTCAACTCACAACGGTGAAGCTTAAGTGTCCCCCAACTTTTTTTCAACAATTTAATACCTATTGAATTATTCGTTCGTTGCAGCAGACAGTGTTAACGTGCTGTTTCCACACGCGTGTATATAATTTTTGTCTTCGTGACCCCACCTGCACACAAACGTTACCAAGTTATTGCTGTACAGAGGAAGATGTTTTGCACACCAAAATCAATTTCATGCCTAATAGTGCAGCACGCTCTATAACTAACTCTAGTGAGAGGAAATTTCCAGGAATGCATGATTAGCGAGTTATGAAGATCCCATGCGCATCGGCAATAATCGACATTTGGGCCACCGCCTGCTTTTAAATACTAATTTTTTTGTGCCCACTCTTTTACTTGGCATGCGTTTCCGTCCACAAATAGCTCTGTTTTATGGCAAAAGCCTTGAGTGGCTCATGTTTGCGCTGACCGTTTGTCGGTCTGTCAATCCGTGCCCTGAAAGGGTCCCAGCTGCAGCCTCTCCCCCTCACACTAGCAATCACATGATGGCACGACGGCATACAGCAACAGTTGCGCCACCACAGCTGTGGCATCTATTCTTACACTCTCTCACCAATCCTGTGATCCCTGATAGTGTACAAAAATAACAACAAAAACGCATGCAATGGTCAGTCGAATGGCCATAGATTTCGGCAGATGAACCTTGCAATTTAACAAAGTATCCTTAAGTAATTACCTTGAGGTAATAGTTGGTGCGTTATTCACCACCAAACAGCAAGCGTTGCCACGGAAGTGCTTCAGCGTTGGTATGCCGCACACCCATGAAGCCGTGCGAAAAGCACAGAGTATGCAAAGCGAACATCGCACTCGACAACAAGGCTATCTTCGTGCTACACGGCTTTTTATTGAGCATAGATATCTGTGTGGGAAGACCAGAAATGGAGGATTGTGAACTGGACAGCAGCTGTGATGTCAGCTTGAGTACCTCTTACACCAACCATTCTGCAGCAACTGGAGCAGTCACCATTATTTCGATGATGGCCGATTCAATATTAGTGAGCCTGGTTTGAATAGTTCAAAGTGTTTCTGTATACAGCAACTGATGCTCACGTGACAAGTCGCGCCAAATCATTTGTGTAATTATGCCAGGAGGAAGTTGCTATTTGACTTTTAGAAGATTGTGAGTGATCGCTCAAAGGCTCAAAACTATTTCGAAACGCGTTCCATAAAACCTCCATTATTGTCATTTGACGACAGTGGGTAGATACTGAAATATTTAAAACATTTGAATATTTAGCAACTATTAGTCTTCCTGAATGTTAATCACACAACAGACCAATATACAACCGGTATATACAACAATATAAACAGACCAATATACAACAGGTATGTGCCACAGGAGATTGACACTTAGTATCTACCCAGGAACGTCGAGAACATACATGGGCCATTTTAGCATGCGTGTGTTAAGAAATACTCGACATCGTTAGCATCGATCCGATTATTGCAAGTAATAAATGTCAGGGTCCCAGCTGGAAACGAACCCAAGCATTCTACGTGGCAATGAAGCATTTTACCACAGAGCTACACCAGGTCTCGGAACTATTTTCAAATAGGTGAGAATCTTCTTGAAACGTCAATAGTGGTTGCAGTGCTGCCTACGCAGTTTTATAAACATTACATATAGACTTCTTTGATGCAGCCGTCACGTCGGGTGAACGTCAGTTGTGGTTAGATGCCGTGCGCTGAAGTTGATTTACGTTGTAGTGTCCAAGGCCAGCATACTCGCGAGCATCATTGCTTCATATCCGCTTCTGGTATTGCTAATACGTATGTTCCAGTTGGCATCGTTGCACAAGTGCAAACAATTGATTATATAAACATCTGCAACTCTTCAATATATGCCTGTGCGTGCAGCAATCGTACATATATTGAGCGTTATTTCATGATATGTCGCTCAATAAATTGCAACACAGTCACCTTCCCTCCGCATGCTTCGCGTAACGTCGATCCCCAGGTACGTGGGATCTGGGGAATTTTTTTTAGTGTTTCTTCGTAATACTTCTCGTATAAGCTAGATTGGCTAACTTCCCAGCTTTTCTACTTTTTTATTTCTCAATCGCTCTCTTCTGAACCACCGCAGCCTCACTTATGAGACATGAACGAAGTGAGCTGCCTATTATCGCCAACAGTATGCCGTAGCGGTACCACGAGAAGACGGTCTAGCTTGGCGGGATGTGCAGGAACTGAAAATTATCATCATCATCATTATTATCAATAAAGGACACACGCTCTCTTTGTCCTATTCTGCTTTGCCCCCAGATCACGTGCGCTGATTTGAGCAAGCACATATCGAAAAAGAGGTGTGAGCGTTAGGAGTAGAGTGAAGACAGCAAGATACACAGAGGTTTAAAGTAAGGTATAAAGGGAAAGAATGTTTCCCAAAATAAATTATCTATGAGGCGGTGAGATTGGAACACATGGACTCACAAGTCGAAGGCAAAGCCCTTAAACACTCATCTAACCATGCACAATGCGGAACATACCGTAGCCTTCTGCAACATCGTAAAACGAAGGGGTACAAAAGCGAAACGACTGTTAGGTACAGAGTAAGAAGGAGAGAGAGCGAAGCATAGCATCAAGGAGTCAAATAAGAAAGAGATACATGCAAAAAAAGAAAGAGGATATAAAAAGGAGAAGAAAAATTGGGACCGCGAAAGGAAAGATAGAAATTGGCAGCAAGCCAAAAGTAAAGGAAACGACACAAAGCTCGGAAAGACTAAGAAATAAAAAGATGGAAACAAAGAGATAGAAAAAAAAACGCCACGCCTGCACAAAAGGCGCAGCACAGTGAAAGCGTAAGATAGAATACCGCCCGTTCAGAGCCTTTCCTGAACACTCAGCCGGTAGCTGCTGCAAGCCCACTTGCTGGGTACCCACTACGGCATTAATGATAATAATTTTAGATGCGGAAGCATCTTATACTCGCGCCTTGTAGTGCGCCGTCCGCACCGCTTCTCGAACATTCGACAGCTGACGCGCGCGCATGCGCCGTCGCGCCGTCGCCCACTCTTCCACCATCTGTGCATCCCTTCCTCCTCTACACACCACGCGCGCTTCACTCCTCCACCATCTGTGCACCCTTCCTCCTCTACACACCGCGTTCGACATCTACAATTCTCCTGATTCTCCAGTGGACGCGCATGTGGCGTCGCGCTTCGAGAACATTCAACAGCTAACAGTTGATGCGCCGTGGCGCTGTATATATACTCAAGGTCGGCGCTCGCTCGCTCAGTTGCCGCTCGTCGGTTGGTTTGTACGGCGCGTCGACGTCCAAGGTCGCGGTGAAATGAATTCCAACGAATCCACAAACACAATGATCGACGTCCCTTCGACCAGCGCCGCCCTTTCGCATACGTGTGTACGTGTTCACTCATTTAACACCCCCTCCTACAACCACGTTAATCAATTTAGCCATCGACCCAAGTAAGTCGCAATTTAACACCCCATTTCACAACCACGTTAACCAATTTAGCCATCGACCCAAGTAAGTCGCACTTTAACACCCCGTTAACCAATTATATGCTCCGCATCCTCCTCAGTGTTCCCCCGAGGGAAGCTGCGGGCAATTTTTTGGGTAGTAGGCCAACATTCGCTATGCTATTTTTTATCATTCTTCTGAGAAGCGTTGTACTCCTTATACACTTGCAAGGAATTTTGCGCCAATTGTTCAGG